TGAGAGGAAATCAATTGAAAGGATCAACCTATCGATTACCTCAGCAGTGTCTTAGGGAGGAACAAACGACGAACAAACGATTCATCAGAAGGAACAATTTAAAATGATTAGATCTTTACGTGGGAGGGGCTAAATTGCGGAAACATGGAAGGAAAAAATAAAAAATCAATTACAAATAATTGGCTGGGGAACAAACGCTGAAAATCCTCGAACAATCAAGAACAATTGACGAACTATCGATTGCATTCGTCAAAAATCAATAATTATGGTAATGAGTGGCTAACTTTGGATGGGTGTTTCTTTTATATAAATTCGCGATCGCAACGTAGATGTGGGAGCCACCAAGTGGTCTCCAAACTAACTACTCTTGGGGGGCAACCAATGAGATCCCTAGGAGGGAACCAATGATGGGGCTCAACCAATGAGATCAAGAAGAACCCAGTGATCTCATTCGTTACCCGCCAAGAGTAGTTACAGTACAGACCACTTGATGGCTCCCACATCTACGTTGTTTAGCTTATTGTGAGGGTTCCCCAAGATAGAGTAATCACCGCAGTATATAACAACACTAATATTTATTATCAGAAGTAGAAATAGTTAATACAAATTAAACTTTGGAATGAGTGATATCGTATGCTTCACGTGTGGTGTAAGCGTTAGGCGTAGAATTGCTTTGGTATCAAGGCTTGCTTCCGCGGGCGACGGGTTGCGCCTTCAGGTTGATTGGCACGCTGCGCCGTGGCCGGAGTGGAAACTGCAGTGGGCGGAGTCGCCACAGTTGCGATGGCGAATAGCTGTAAATATTGTAAATACCTACTGTAGAAAATGAATAGAAAACATGGTTAAAACAAAAAAATGGCCTGGTCGGTTAATGTACGGGTCCAACATTCCGGTTGAATCCCAGACATCGTGAGTTCAAATCCCTTCTTTTCTTTTATTTTTGTTTTTTCTAAGTTTGTAATATCGCTTACTCTGTTAGGAATAAAAATTAGGAAAAATGATGAGCCGAATCAATTTTCTCCCGTGAATCGACGAAAAACAACGTTTTTCAAGTGCCTCAGTTTTCATTCGATTGACGACTTTTTCAAAAAATGTTTGTTATTTGTCAACGAACAAAGGTCCCCCACTCCTTCCACTCTCGACTGCCGAATGTAAACACTTCAATGTGTTCTTAAATGCGGCATTGTTTTGCATTTCCGCGAATTCAAAACCGTAAAATACTGTGCCTCTAGATGTGTAAAAAAATAAAATCAGTTCACACGTGACCGTCATGGAGGGAATAAATGTTGAAAGTATATGCTTGAATGTTTATTCAAGTGTATAGTCAATTACAAAGAAGTGAGTTGATTTTTTTTTATGTTGCAATTTTCGATTACAAAATCGACAATAATTTTTATCAAAAAAAAATTCAATCATTGAGTTTTTCAATAAAAAACAAAAAAAAAATATTCTCTAATTGGTAGCAAAAATTTGTTATTCAGATAGATAAAAAAAATGCATTGACGAAAATTTGGCTAATAAAAAACCAATTAGTTGACTAAAATGCAAATTAAAATGCCCGGAAGAATAGAAATTAAAACATACTCGAATTTCTTATTTCTTATTTTGTTTTTATCGTCCGTAGTTCCGAGAAATTGGAGCTACCTTGGGNGGGGGGGGGGGGGGAAATACAGTCGCGTTCTCGGAATCGACTTCCACTACGGGCCCACAAGAGAGTGTAGAAAAAAAAAATTTCGATCGGATGAAACCTGAGGCACTTGGACGATTTCAAAGTTACAACTGAAAAACATTGCTTTTGATTGATTCACGGGACAAAATAGATTGTCGTCATCATTTTCCCCACTTTTTAATATCTCCCTTCATATACCAAAAGTCGCTTGATACGTTCTCTGCACTAACGAAGACATTGAGATTTCACCGTGGTTTCTCCTTAATGAACTATTGTCATATTTATCTCGGCTTTATACGCCGTTGATGAAGAGCATTAATTCGGGATTCCCTGGTTTTTTGAAGATTTTTCCAAAATCGTCCTAATTTCAATTGCATTGAGTTCCGGAGAAAATTTCATTACAATTGTTCAGCATTTTTACGTGAATTTCGGGCAATGAAAGCGCACTATTTGAGAAAATCAGAGAAAACTATTTCAAATAATCTCAACAAAATATTTTTCAAAGTTCAAGTAGGGGAGACAGGAGCAAAGCATTCGTTACCGTTCTTTAGGAGTATAGAAGTCTACTTTGCCTCTCTTTAATATATTGAAATTTTTGAGTACCAAAAATTCACAGGAAATTTGTAGATATGTTGCAATTGACAACCAGTGAATCCTTGGATATTCAATGAGATTCCAATTTTATGGTTTCAACGGGGATGAGAATCGGATGAAAGTTAGAACCATTCAAGCCATTTTTTTTTATTAACGCTTTAGAAACCCTAAGGCGGGTTTATTAGCAAGTGTATCTGAGTTACAAGGTTTTTTTCGTTTTTACACTAATAGCATGTTCAAATAACAATAATTATATACGTATGTCACACTCTTTCAATAATTCACACATTGCTTTCAGAACTCTAGGGTCCAAAGAAACAAGTCTTGAGTTGATGTGCACTGGGAACACGATCCATCTTCTCAGATGATCCATCAATTTCCTTCTTTGAGTAGTGAACCTGGAGTAAGCCTTCGAACTCGAAGAAAATATGGTTTAAATCCTCTTCTGGATGTTCGCAAGAGCATCTCTTTGAATCAAGTATATTTATTCGGTACAATGAGCTGGCTGTGTTTACATGGTTTGCCCTGGCTCTGTTGATCCACACTATTTGTTCTCGTTTAAATTTGGGAAATTTCGAGAACCAAGATTTTTTATTCTTTTTGTAAAAGTCATCAAAATGCTCTGTGCCTTTCTCCATCCCTTCTTCACAGATATCTTGCACTGTCGGTTCGTAGGTATTCCGTTGGAATATTTCTTTGAAATCGGTGAAAGGTATTCTGGAAACTTCGGATTCTGGGTTCTCTGTAGCTTCCTTGACGACTTTGTCTGCTTCTTCGTTGCCTGCAATTCCCACGTGAGATGGTACCCAATGAAAGTTTATGACATGATTTTGGTCAGTTTTCAGCAGAAATTCATTATATTTATCTTCAATTTGGTGAATATAATCATTGGGCTTCATGTTTAAATGTACATGATTCAGCACCTGTAGCGCGCTAAGGCAGTCTGAGAATATGTGTATGTCCTTGTTCAGATGCTTGAGTGCAATATTCATAACTTCGATAATCGCCATCCACTCGGCAGTGTACACTGAAGCCCTGATGTTAATATTTTTAGCTATACTAACATTCAGCTGGGGACAGACACACGCCATATCCCAGTGGAGTCTTTGCCCTCAACTTTACTGCCATCCGTGAAGATATGATAAGCAGTGTTGTAGTAATTCTAGAGAATTTCCTCTATTTCTTCAGTATTACAAGTGTCCCGTATTCTACAGCCCATTTCAGTGTCAATTGGTATTTCTGTAATCAAATCACCGCATGAATATTTATAAACATGGAAATGTTCCTCCCGTTGACGCTGTTCTACTAGTGGATTTATTTCCGTGATGGCTCTCAGGAGGAGTCTGTTCTGTCTCACTTTTATTTCAATACTGGTTGCCCAGTGCTCTTCAATTGTTTTACACAATTGAAGAGTCTTGTTGCTCATCACCTTGATTAAAACGTTTTTCGTCAGACACTTTGCTCTTTTTTGCATTGATGTGAGTTTACTTTCTCCCAACAATATATTAGTGGGGATGCTTCTCCGATATTCCATGATTGTCCTTATTGCCTCATACTGATTTTTTTCCAACCTATGTACAGTCGCGGACTTAAGTTCGTGAACAGCCTGCACTTGCATCCAATGTGTTTTGTTCATGAACTTTAGTACCCGACTATATAGTGTTGTGTGGAGATTTTCAGTCTATGTATTTTTATTCAAAGAGGGCGGGCAAGTTGCCCGTGGAGTGCTAAACCACTCTGTAAGTACGGGATATTTTAAATAATTGTTTAACACGAACACAGATTTATGTAACGCAAATAGTTCCTTGTATTTAATTAACTTGTCAATAGTCCGCAACTCGAGTTCACATTAATTTCACAATTAAATTATTCACAACTTTCAAATTCACAATTAAATCTGTTGAAACTTGGGATAGGAGTGAGTTTAAGGATTGACGTAAGCATCTTTTTTACACGAGTAAATTTTTTTATGGTCAAATGCCATGAAACTTTGGCAAAACGTTATTTGAACTATTATAAAATGATCGATCTATCGCTCAGCTCTTCGTCATATTGTCAATATCGATTTTTTTGTTTTTTTTATGTTTTAGTTGATATCGACAATATGACAAAGAGCTAAGCGAGAGATCGATCATCTTACAATGGTTATAATAACGTTTTACCAAAGTTTCATGGCATTTGACCATAAAAAAATTTACTCTAATTCAAAAATTGCCTACATCAATCCTTAATTTCTAACTTCTCTTCGATCGTCCGCTCGGTCAAGCATCCATGAGGTGTCAACAATTTTAGGGATGGAGGGGGTTCAACGAATCATTTTGCAAGAAACTCGAAAATTCATCCTGAGGGCGTTGGTCAGTGACATGGTACCGAGTGAGGGGGGGGGGCAATTAGGGTACCGAGAGAGGGGTGTCACGCGTCCCTCGAAGGGGAATTTCCAAGTCCAGGTAAAGCAATAACGAACGAAAAACTGAAAATTCCCGAAGTAAAGACTAGATGTGCAATAAAAAGGATTAACTAAATGATGGTCGCGGGGAAACCCAAAATAACGAGCAAACTCCAGAAAATGTACCTCAAATGTCCCTTTACATGGATATTATTTATGATAGGCAAAAACCATCTGGTAAGACTCGGTTCTACTTGGGGAAAGTAACAAATGTCGAGAAATACCGTTGTGGGGGGAATTCCAAATAAAAGAGCCTCATGAATGCTACGATGCTTCCGAAAATACAAGCGATGTAAATAGTCCAGTCAAACTATAGCTCGCACTGGCACATGTATAGAAACATTTCGTATGGAGTTGCGACATTTTTCTACGTTTTTCTCTGGAGCCTTTAGACATCTTTCGTATGAAATCAAAAATTTATGTAAAAATTTATGTATAGAAATAATTCGTATAGAAAATAATCGTATAAAAATATCCGAATATCATATACGGAAATCCTATAGAATTTCTATACGCAAGCCGTATAGAAAATTTCTATACGATTTTTTCATACGTGGTGCTACCGTACAAGTAGTCCAAAATTCGCTGTACCACAGTAGAAAGTAAAAATAATATGCATTTTATGTTTAATTTAAGAATTGAAGTATGGTCGTTTTTGAATTTTGTTCCTCTTCCATGAGATCCATTTTTATTATTAATTCTACTATATTTTTTATCCGTTATTTCAGTGAGAAGACTAGATGTATCTATCTGTGATTTGTGCAATAATTCAGTCACTGAATATGTTGCATCACCATGCAGACACTGGTTTGGTTGTCAAAATTGTACACTGCTGTACGTTCAGACGTCTCTGGAGGTGAATGCCTTTTTGAAGTGTCGGTGGTATCCCCAGGAGTGTCGTGCATTCAAACGTGTTTTTGTGAGTGCACTCTTGCATTCCTTCAATAGAAAATGATTAGTCCACTAAAAAAATCGATGTTTCAGATTACGTAAACATCTCTTCGGGGAAGGGAAATTCGGGAAGGCATGTTCAGGAAAAAGTCTCAAGAATATCCATGCAGTTATCATAAGTACTTCACGGTTCTCACTTATCTTGTACTATTTCTCCCTCATTCAATAAACGGAACAAACATGTATCTCATTTGTTCGATTGGTCAAAAACCCCAATAGATTGAAAATTCCAATAGATTCTTATTCAATAACAAAATATACAATCAACTAATGAATACAACATGAATGAGTAAAATAATGAATATGAACAATTTAATAAATCCTAGTTGTTGATTATTTATGTATAATCCTTGTCAGTACCATATCCTCTATGGCATCGTAATATTTAACATATTTTTTTAAATAAAAAAAACGTATTTGATCTGTTTATCGAGAACTGTCTTATCGATTACAGTTCTCTTAACTCCACCTTAGGAATAGTTTTTATCAACATTTTGCGTCGATAACACGCACATGATTCCTTTTTACCGACCAAAAGAGATAAAACAGTTTCTCTGTTCCGTGAAAATAATTTTCGGCTCTTTGGAGACTCGAATATAGGAACGATTATGGGAGCGCCACCTTATTTTACTGCTACGTTGTTATTTGGAAATTTTTCTCGAAAAGAATAAGAGAAGTCATCAATTGTTTATCAATAAAAAAAATCTAAGACTACAATATTTCATCAATTACAATTTCAATACGGCAGATTAATTGATACACTACATTTTCAATCGCGTGCTCAGTCCTCGCGCTGGAACTCGGGAAATCTGGCCTCAAGCCGACCCCCCTATCGAAAACATAGACGTATCCACGTCAAAAAAAAAAGACCGAGCGGAGATTTGAACTTGCGATGCCAAGCACAATAGGCGTGTGGTGGGAGATCTGGCCGCGTGAGGGGAAGAGGCGCGACAGCATCACGCTCGGCGCCCGATGGTACTTGTCCCCTAATTTTGGTGTCAGCGACAGAGATTATATGGGAGATCTCCAACGCCTATGCAAGGGCTTCGACCAAGTTTTTTCGTAGCGGCGACCCATGAACTACGCGGAGTACACACTTGTTGGTATAACAGGGCGCGTATACGGATGTCGATATTCCCCCCCTGAGAGAGTCAGAGATAGAGTTGCGCGCTCGCTCGCACTCGTTGTGATTTAGGGACATGTGAGTCACCTGATGTATCCAGTGAGTGCGTGAGGGATAGTGTGAGAAAAGAAAAGAGATAAACTTTGCCTGAATATAGCGGGACGTCTTTCGAGCGTTTCACACAAAATCTTCCAAAATAAAAAAAATAAAAAGCTTCAATTCTTCGATTACTTCATTCATTCGTTGTTCATTTACAATAATTCCGAGATTTAAATACCTTTTTTTCCTTCTTCGATATTCGCGACTAATAAAAAATAAATCATCTATGCATTAAGGATGGAATCGCAATGATAACTATTAAAATGAAAAATTTATTGGAAAACCAAAAATTATCACTGATAGTTCTTGGGGCACGATTTACCTCGACGAAGATTAACAATTTTAATTATTCTATGTTCACAAATGATATTGTGCTTGATAGTCGAGTTAGCATGTATTATAAAATTTATAAAATGTAACAAATTCAATAAGCAATTCTATTGAATTAAAATTGCATTTCTTATAGCATATTTCTTATAGCATATTTCCTATTGGAAAGTTTGATAAAGAAGATAGAAAATTCATACGAATTCTATTAGAAATTGAATATAGTTCAATTGTCAGTCCCCAGAAAACAATTTTTGCTAGTGCCATCTAAAATTTAACAGGACATCGGTAATTTGTCGACAAATTGTCGACATATTGTTTGCTGGGTCGTAATACCCTTCTAAATGATCGGATACCTCCCGATAGCTTCGTTGCGCAGCAACAAGAGGGATAGGCTTTGAAGGTCTTATAAGGTCTCCTGAAGGTCTTACAAGGGTTTCAGAGTTTCAAAGGAGTTATATGAAAAGGCTTAAATAAGTTACAAAATGTTTATTATATCAACGCACATATCAATAATGGACTTGTTAGGAAATCTATCAATTCGAAAACATATTGCTAATTCATTAGCAAAAACGGACACGATGATTAACAGAATGAAAACGAATGGCCCACCTGTTCATTGAGTTAGGGTGATATTTATATTTAGCAGATTATTTTTCCCATCCAAATTTCAGCCAATAGAATTGCACCATTCGACTGTTTTTTATGTAGTCAACACGAAACGCAACTGATAATTTTTTGAGAATTTCCCTGATAATTTTTCATGTTGATATATCTAAAAAACAATAGATTGGCCAGACCACGTAACCCCCATCGAATTTGACAGATAGAATACTATTGTGTTAATTTTGTCTTATGGTGCAATTCTATTGGCCGGAATTTGAATGGAAAAATAATCCCCTGAATACCACGCGAGCTGCAAAATTAATCGGGTATTTCCCTCAAGGTTCCCTGCAAACAAACGCAGTCGTAAAGTTTTTCAGAAAAATCACTCGCGCTTCGCGCTCGTGATTTTTTCACCTGAAAAACTTGACTCCTTCATTTGTTTACAGAAAACCTATCGGGAAATACCCGATAATTTTGGAGCTCTTGTGGTATTACATGTGATAGTCATTACATATGAAAATTAATCAAGGATATTCCTTGAGATAATATGTTAATGATGATTGCAGGCACTTAAAAAAAGTCAGAACTCCGAATAATAAACAATAGAAAAATTCATGCATTTAGTTCAAATTTTTTCAAATTCATTCCCCCACCAGGTGGTTATTCTTACGATTTTCACTGGTTATAACAATTCACATTTAAAATGTTCATTCATTTATTTTGCACAAACAACATCATTGACGAATTAATAAGACGAGGGGAAATCGTAAGAGATGATGTGAATCGAATGAGATAATATCATATCATAATGATGGCCTCATGACTCTGAAATGAAGGGAACGTTACGTGATTTGACAGTGATTTCGAGTTTGACTCCGGTGAATTTTGAAAGAGTTGTAATCTGTGCCACTTCCCACGAGCCAATTCAAGTGGCTCGTAAAGTTATTTCATGATATCATAGATTTCAAATGATTTTCTAAATTCGTAATGACCGGTTTCTGAGAGATAATGAAGTAATTGAAGTCGGTATAAATNATTGGCTCCATCTCCAATCTTCACGGATGCTAGTGGTAAGGAATGTCGAGTAGAGAGGCGGACCATCCGAGCTGTAAGATTACGACAGTTTCCGTTTCGAGCACGTAGTAGCGCGAACCAATGCTCGTTACCGTCTTGATTTGCGCGAGCTGTGGCGNCTTCGAAGACTTGAATGAATTTTTACATGATTTTTCCTTCCCATTTCATGACACAGTGGACCCAGAACTTATGAAGCGCGTATTTAATGGGATTTATGTTAAGACAAATCACTTCTCGTAGAAATTTTCTTACGCGTGTAAAAAAAAAGCATCGTTAGTATGCTTAAGTACTTGCAAAGTAAAAATTTGAATATTTAATACTATCAGCTGATGTTCGTAGATGAGATAGACCTGGAATGATGGATGTCATGCACTTCAATTTAAGCTTTTCCCCGTTACCAACAATAATTCGAATCCCACGGATTCAATGAGCCTTTAGTAATAGATCGTATCAAGTGATATGTTGAAACGTGGCTAGCAATGAGCTTTGTGATAACAAATTAAATGAGAATTATTCGTGATGAATCTTATTGATGAGTGAGGTTCTTCAACTTTATATTGTTGCTGGGCACGACCAATTGTTTAAATGATGCGGTACGATTGTTTCCGTTAGTTCGTGAGAAAATTTTAACTTTAACCATGAATTCAGAAGCCCTCAAACGGTGTTTATAACATGGATGAGACTTATCGA